GCCCACCATGGCAAGTGGCTGAAAAACTCTATAACTGACCTTGCTGGCATACGAACCCTTAACTTCTCAATTACTCAATCCTCACATAAATGGTTGACTTTCTCACCCGTTTCTGTAACAATCATGACGGTAAGACTTCCCTTCTCGGTCTCTGTTTCACCTCCATCCCCGAATCTTGTCGCACCACTCAGCTCTGCCCTCTTGGCAACTCTGATCATGATGTATAGTCTGTCAACATCTCCTTCTACTCCACAAAGAACCTCCTGCCAACAGAACATATTTCTGTTATCAACGAGCTTACTAGGACTCGTTCCGTGATTTCCTTTGCGATGTCCCCTGGAATGTGGTCTTTAATCTCCCCGTTCAAGAATGCGCTTCTGTGGTCTCCTCCTGGGTAAAAGCTGAAATCGAGGCTTTCCTTCCCGCAAGGAAATATAATGTTAAATCACGCTCATCGCCCGGGTTCTCTGCTGCTTGCTCAGCTGCCATTGCCAACAGGAATCACTACTTCCGCTTGTAACGTAGTGACATGTCAGATTGCAACAGACGTTTCTTTGTCTCAGCCCGTAATGAGTGCAAGCGTGTTCTCAATGAAACAAAATCACTATCCGCTGATAGAATGAAACAATGTATTGCATCTCGCAAATTCGGCTCCAAAGATTATTGACGTCTCTGCAAGAGCGTACCAAACAACAGCAAACCCACAATACCGCCTTGAGATCCTTACTTCCTCAGCCGACTGCTTTCCTCGTAAATTCTCAACCAATTCAAGGCTCGACTCGTCCGGTGTACCCACACTCGTTTCCCCCCTAGAACTGAGGCTCTGTTGAGCGATTTGCACATAACCCCATCGTTGGTATAGGGCATCTTCTTTAAATTAGACACCCATAAGGGTAACGGTGGAGACGGAATACCAGCCATTGTCCTGAAGAAATGTACTCCAAACTATACAACTACTGTCTCAACGACTCCTGTTTTCCATCCTGTTGGAAGTTTTCATCTGTTGTACCTGTCTTCAAGAACTCTGGCGACACTTCTGACCAATCTAACTGCTGCCCTATCAGTCTCCTACCACTCTTCGGCAAAGTCTTTGAAGCTTTAATCAACGCCGAAGTGGTTAAGCACCTTATCTCTGACAAGCAATATGTTTTCCGCTTTGCCCGGTTTACAGCTGATGTGCTCACGGCCATAATTGAATTTGTTTTACCAAGCACTTCACAATAACGGAGAAGCTCTAGATATCTCTAAAGCGTTTGATAGGATTTGGCATGCCGGCCTCCTTCGTATGCTTCAGGGATACGGTATCCCAAGACGATTATTTGACTTAATAAAATCATTCCTGTCAAACTGTGTAATGAAGGTCGTCCTTAACGGATTCTCCTCCAGTTCCTTTCTCACGAACGCAGGTGTTCCCCAAGGCTCTATCCTGGGTCCTACACTGTTCCTTATCTTCATTAACGATCTTCCCGATGTTATCAGTTCCCAAGTAGGCATCTATGCAAACTAAATAGGAATTCTGGTTTCGCTGACAAAACTAACCTGGCCGTTGGTCTCGAAAAGGACCTCCAATCGATTGTTTACTGGGCCGTTTAACTTTAAGGTCTCAAAAACAAAACTGCTCTCTATTGCCCGATCAACCATTCGCCCTTGCATGGAATGTTGCTGTCATATATGGTCTGCAGCCCCCGCTATTCGTCTTCGGATCTTCGACAAAATCCAGAGACGGATATGCAATATGCTTAGCCCTGATCTGGCATCTCGTTTATAGTCACTCTCTTACAGACGTGCCGTCGCCTCCCTCTGTCTTTTCTAAAAATACTTTCATGGCACTGCTCCGACGAGCTATTTTCGCTTGTTCCCAAACTGCATGAATTTAAACGCGCCACTAGGTCGGCATCTCATTCCCACCCTTTTCACTGTCGAAACAGTTAAATATAGCCGTCTCTTCTACTCCAATAACTTCATGTCTCGCACTTCCCGTCTGTAGAACTCCCTTCCTCTTACTTGGTTCCCTGATAGCTATAATCTCAGATGCCTTGATCTATTCCCCATCCTTTTCTTTATCCTTTCCTCTTTCACACCTCTACTCTTGCTCCCAATCTTCTGTAACCCCCTTGCGTGCTAGCTGCACTCCCGCTTCGCTTGGGGTGAAAAGTTTTAAAAAAGTCTTCCTCGATTGATATTTAAATTACAATTCTACTTTTGTAACTTGAAGTATGTAATTCATGTGGATGTGTGTGTGTGTTTTAACCTTTTTTGTATGAGTGTATTCAATAGCTCCAATTAGTTTATATCTACTTATTTGTATGTCTTGTTAATATATATATATATATATATATATATATATATATATATATATATATATATATATAGATACACCTAGTGAGCCAGACAAACCTAAAAATCATGATATGATTTTAGCTATCACCTATAAATATGTGTGTCTCTTTGCCTCGTTAGCCAAACTTTCCCTGACGATCCGTTTAGGTGAAACCTAGGTAGGTTTGTCTGGCTCACTAGGTGTATCTAGGTCTGCTCTACGGTTGTATTGAGCTCTTTTGTTAGTTAGTTGTTTACTCGTATCGGGGTTTTTTCTTTGGGCTTCAGACCTGCATCTGTGCGATTTTTTTGTCGACAGAAGTCTATGTTTGTAGCTCTTTCTTTTTTTAAAACCTTTTTTCCCTCGAGATTGATTTGATTAGCAAATCAAAAATTCGAGGGTTTTTCGAAACGAGTCTAGTTATTTATATTTATATATATATATATATATATATATAGTATGTGAATATTGTATCAAACATGGTGATATGTAAATAGATTTTAATTTAATCTAGTATTTTTGTAAATGTATTATTCGTATGCAATCATCTCTCTCTCTCTCTTTTCTTCTCTCTCTCTCTCTATATATATATATATATATATATATATAGAGAGAGAGAGATGATTGCATATGAATACATATATATATATATATATATATATATATATATATATATATATATATATACACATAATAATTTACATACGTAGATGTGATATGATATTGGCGAGTAAGTGTATTATAATTTTCTTTTTAATCATTGCTTAGATGTGTATATTTATGTTTAAATTATACTTCTACCGTTGTAACTTGAAGTAAGTAATTTGTGTAAATGTGTTTTTTGTTTTTTCCTTATATTTATTTTAAATACATTTTTTATAACAATCACAATATGGACTGCTCCATCATTACCATAATCTGATAAATAAAACAAAATTTAAATTATGTTACGGCGAGCTCCTGAAGATTGCACTGATCATAAAGAGCAGGGTCGTGCTATTAGTGAGGAAAAAATGTATATTTATTATTAATATATAATTTACAGCAATGTTATATTACACCGAGCATTAGTTTATTAACAGCAGCACTCAATGAGCAATATTGTATATATAAGTGGACATTAAGGTCGTCCAAGCAGCCGCTTGGTGTTCACCTCAATCTCCATTTTTATATTTACATACGCTCTCTGATATTGAGCATATTTACCCATAAATGGATCATCTAAAACTATATTTTTATCACACACACACACACACACACACGTATGTGCGTGCGCGTGCGTGCGCGTGCGTGCGCGTGCGCGTAATCAGTATTTCTCTTTATAAGTAGTTACAAATAAAAATGAACGGGCTGATACAAAAATAAAAAATATATATTGAAAATGTGAAATAAAAATACATTCAAGATAAGCAGCTGCGGTTTTCTTCGACCATTCATAGCAAAACATTTTCCTCCGTGACGCTAAGCACGGTTAGTAGCCAAGAAAACTAAGTGGATAGACTACTCGATCATTTCAAGAACACTTATGTTTGATGCTTACCACAATTTTTTCTTACCAAGCCCTTCAGCATCTCCTTCAAATCTATTACTATCAAAATCCTTTCAAGCTATCTTTTCTTCTTTTCTTTTAGTCTGAACAAGATCTGACAGAATTCCATTCTGTAAACAGTCTGTCCTTTTAACTACACACCTCTTTAGACATACTTTTCTTTCATATATATACTTATCCATACTTTCTTTTTTCCTTTTCTCTTGCCGACCAGTCGGACGGGGATGTTGGTAACAAGGCCCCTTTGACAACATATGCTCAGCGCCATCCTACTCTAATTCTGACAGCACAGCGACAATCCATCATCAGCTAACAGTTTTGATTCCCTATATCCCCACAAACCAACTGCATGGAAACTGCTAAGCAAAATCGACCTTTAACTTCATCTTATGTGTCATTGAAAATTAGTCTCGAGATTTTGCACTAGCGCCTCCCACTCAAATTTGGTCACGCACGTCAAACAACTCCCCCCCCCACCCGCCCACCAAATAACTCCCAATTCTGGCTACCACCTTCAGAACCATCTACCCGTCTATCAGCTGTTTGTTGCTTAGGTGTTCTCTGACATGTTATTTGCTTTGACTCTCTACTCTGGGCAAACCTAATGACTTTGTTCGTTACTATGTTAATGTATTAAAAAGAAAAAAAAAAACAAAAATCAACGGTGATGAAGGGGATGGGTAAAAAATGCAGTACTCGCCGGCAGGCCAGCTGTTATTTTTTTTTCTTCTTCTTTGGTCGCCTCAAGGAAATGGATTGCGTGACTCTCTTTCTCAGCCGTTACACTGGGCAGTTGTGAAACAGACACCAAACTCAGCCGCGCCTACTTCGATTTCCTCTTTGTTCGTCTGTCAATTCGTACGTCCAGCTCTATTGCACGCAGTCCGCCGAATGACTCCCGATTCTCTCGTGCTCCTGGCACTCCGCTTTTTATGCTGTCCCACGTGTGCAAATATCGTCTTGATTTCAATAGCGGCTATATTTCTTTTTGTCATTACTTTGCAGGCAAGACACATTCGCACTCGTTTCGAATTCTGAGGTAAGTCATGTCTTTCGTCACACCCCTCCCTGATCTCATGATCACAAAGGTGGCAGCCCGGCAGCGGTCGTTTTCGACGGGTGCTTCTTCACAAAAGCCAGGAGGGGGATCTGCTCTCTCTTCGGGTGGATTGTCTGAGGGGTGTTCTGCTTGTAGTGGGCGTCAGTCCTCTTCGGGTGGATTGACGCACTCTGCACTTTCCTCGTCAAGCAGCAAACTTTCTGCTCCGCTCTCAGATGTTTCATCGGAATCTTCCTCGGACGCGCTGAAACCGTGGCGCGGGAGCAGATCCTTAACGTGGCGCGGTATTCTGTACTGATCATTTTCGTCACCCGCCCCATGTTGAACCTGGTGGTGCAGCGACTCATTGGCGCCTTGGCCCACACACGATCTCCGACCTGGTAAGAGCCGTGTCCGGGATCTGAATACATCGTCGTGGGGTCAACCACTTTCACCCTCAGTTCGTATCGGTGGGCGCAGTTTGGGGTGATGTATTGTCTTTTGGTGTGGCATTATACCAGTAGACGGCTTCTTGGACGGAACAGCGCATCCTGGCCGCGATTCAATTTACTGTGAGGTGGCATCGCTCTGCTATTCCGCTTACCTCGAGCTTTCTTTTTCCTAGTGAGTTGGTGCTGGGTCTATACACTGGCATTCTTCACACGTCCGTATAGCTGATCTAACGGCTGTTTTTGTTGTTGACGAGCAGACTCTCCTGGCGCAGTAGGTAGTGCGCCGCACTCCTGGATAACCACTGTTCCTGTGGATGGACATGATTTGGTCTGCGTCCAGTTCGTCCACATGGATGGCGCCAATCACTGGCCCAGGCCCATTGTTTTTCTTCATTGCGTCAAACCATCGCTGCGGTACTCTCGTCAGTCGTTCAGCCGAAGGGACCAGAGTCACGTCCTCGGTCAGCTGATACTCTTCCTCGAGCTCCTTGAGAGTGTTCAGCCGCCTCCTGATGAGCATTTCGTTTGCCCCCTTGGTGCGCACTCGCGCTCTCCCAGTCAAAGTATCCGATACCCAGTGGTACACGCAAATGGAATCTGTTTTTACGCGTAGCGTCTTGCTCTGCCACTGGGGTGGCAAATTGACGCCTTTCAACACTGCATCCAGCTCGGCTAGGTTGATATGTTGAGCGTCGTATTTAGGTCGCAGCCAGCAAGCATCCTCCAGCATCTAACGCTACTCCGATTGCCAAGGAACTGGCATTGACCCACACATTCAGCTCCCGGCCATCCACGCACCAATCCCCACGGGTCGGATCATCTCGCTGCACAGAATTCACGGTCTCAGATACCATGCGCTGGAGGAGGGTATCCTTCATTTCATCGTCTCAGCCCATCGTAACAACTTGAGTATTCCGCATGCCACACGGATCCATCCACACACTGCGAGGTGCCCAGCAAGCCTTTCACACAGAGAGAACACCTTCCGTCGCGTAACGACACCGGAGACGTTAGGAACCAAACTTCCTCGCCTTCACCGCAATTTACCTTGTTCCATCGCGACCGCCAATCCTAGTACTCATGCGCCATCCTCCAACCGTTCTGGGTCCTTGCATTCCAGCCCAAACTGAGCCAGATGTTCTTTAACGCGGGTCGCGGGAACGACATCTTCATTGATATAGATGTCGTCAATGTAGGCAGATGCCGCGGACTCACAGTTTCTTCCTGGGCCAGCACTGTGCTAATGATCGCCTTCATGACGAGGGGAGCCACGTTTAAGCCGAATCCTAAACGTGTCAGGCAATATCTTTTCCTGTCAATTTTCACGGTCTGGTATGGCCAGAGTGACTCGTGGACACCTATTTGTAGGCATGCTCTCCTGAGATCCAACAAAGACACGTTGGATCCCTTCTGTCGTCATTCACGCAGTTTAGCTACACAGACGTCTGCATCGGCTGTGAAAGTGTCAACGTGATGGTTGAATTCCCGGAAGTCCATCACAGGACGTACTTTAGACTTGTTCTGCTGTAGTACGGCCATCTGGGGAATTAGCCCTTTGGGAGGCCCCAGTCTTTCTTCTGGGAATGGTACGAGCCAGCCGTTGCTCATCCACGTGCGAAGCTCCTGCTCATAGTCCTCCCTGATCTCTGCTGCTACCGGGTACTTAGAAACTTCATTGTGCAGTCTTTCAGGTGCGCAGTTCTCTGACCACTTCCATGCCGCAGTCCAGGATCGCCTCCGATGGTCGAAGGTGGCAGTGAAGTCGGGTTCATCAACAGTAATGGCCACACATTTGGCTGCTCGCCCATTGACAATCTGTACTCGTCCCGTTGGCCCAATGCGGTTATGGCATCAATGCGGTTATGGAAGGTCAAATCCCAGTGGTTTACCACGCACCACCAACACGTTGATCTTGGCAGAACCGCCTTCCTCCGTGGATACGGTTACCATTCCTACATCGCAACATGGACGGGACATGCCTCCAATAGTCATGACGTCCACCGTCACACGTCCATGAACAGCAGTGTCAATCAGCGCTGAACATCAAGTTCGGTCGACAAGGATGTTTGCCACCGGGAGAGCCGTATTTACATCTTGGTTGGGGAGAAGGCTGGCGCTGATGCCTTGTCCCCTGTAGCGTTTCCCGAACAGTCTCGAGCCACTATTGGTGGGAGACGCGTCGTCACTACGGGTTGGGCGCACAGCCGCAACTACGTCCTGGCTTTCATCTCCGGTTGTTGTCAGCACTCTCGCTCTTGCTATTAACTCTCCCACAGTCGGAGTTCAATGGAGACCGTATCAGGGAACCTCATGATGAAGGCTAGTTTGGTGAGCCTTTCCATCTCAGCTCCCTCGAATCCGGCCAATCCAACAAGCTGCCTGATTTTGTTCGCCTAGACATCCACGCGTTCGCCGGTCCACCTGACCATGGTCAGTTTTCTGTACGCTGAAAACGCGTCGTCCGTAAACGCCTCCTTCAGCCTGGTTTCTATCTGATCAACATCTGTCGTTCTCCTCCATTTCCGTATAGAGGGCTAGTGCGTCCCCCCTCCAGGTACAATGACAGCAGGCTAACCACATCGTCCACCTGCTGAAGTCTTGCCACCAGCCTGACCATTTTTAGCCATCGCCCTGGCCGGAAAATGGTTTTATAATGTCGCTGCTTATGCGAACCTTCGCCATAACTGCCGAAATAGCTTGTAGTAAAAAAAGAAAGAAAGAAAAACAACGGTGATGAGGCGGGTGGGTAAAAATGCAGTACTCGCCGGCAGACCAGCTGTTTTTTTTTCTTTTTCTTCTTCGTTCGCCTCAAGGAAATGGATTGCGTGACTCTCTTTCTCACCCGTTACACTGGGCAGTTGTGAAACAGCCGTGCCTACTTCGACTTCCTCTTGGTTCGTCTGTCAATTCGTACGTCCAGCTCTATTGCACGCAGTCCGCCGAATGACTCCTGATTCACTCGTGCTGCTGGCACCCCGCTTTTTATGCTGTCCTAATACGGCCGAAATTTGCATGTGTGCAAATATCGGCTCGTTTTGGATGAGATAGACGTGCATAAATTGTGTCTTCAATAGCGACCATATTTCTTTTTGTCATCACTTTGCAGGCAAGACACATTCGCTCTCGTTTCGAATTCTGAGGTAGGTCATGTCTTTCGTCACAGTTAACTTTTCTTATTTCCTATTATTCGACGTCTACATTAATTCCCTCTCGATTTCGCTCGAACTTCCGGAGACTAAATGTAGCGAAATTTATCCAGTGAACTTGATCATGTCTAAAGCTCAGATCCATTACTTTTGTAGACAATCAGCAGTCATCACATTTGGAATCTGTTATGATGAAAACATGTAAAGGAATTCATCCCTTTCCACACATTACAGATTTCTTGATACGAGCATTTTTTGTTTGGTTTTATTAACTCCCTCATATCTAGTACTCACTAACATAGGACTTGGCGCATTGGTAATACTTCCTTATTTACGTGAAACGAAATGATTTTAATCAGAATTCTTCTTGTGGGTTGATTTATTTTAGTGTAAGTGCAATTTGTACGACGGTACATCGACAAGTCCGTAAACTAATATTAATTTTTCAGCATAATTCATTTCGTTGCCAAATGGTTTAATTCACTTATTACAATTAGTCGCATAGATTGAACATTATACAGTGAAAAATTCAGATCAAAATACAGATAACTGTGTCAGGCTCAGTCGGATTTAGTGTCCCATTCTCGTAAATAAAAATGTTTGTGCATAGCTCACTGGCAAAGGACTAAATTGAATCACATACATATACACACATACACAAGTGAGATCTTAAGCTCTATTTTCAGATAACTCATATCTGCACAAATAAAATTATTTCAATTCTAAAACAAAAATTTATGACTTACAATGGTTAGTCGTTTATGTGAATGTTTAAATGCTTTAAAATGCTTCGCTTTTATTTTGTTTCATTGTGAAAAGACTTTTGCTACAAGGAAAGATAATGGTGATATTATTATTCAATTTGAATGACTTTCAGAATATAATTAAATTTGATTTAGATTGGAGCTTCATTTAAAAAAAAATCGCTCTAATCTCCACGCACCCATAATAATATGAATTTAAACAAAATGTCTTATTTAATATTTGAATAAATTTTTACATGGTCTTTGTTAATTTCATCATAGATATAAATATTTTTCTCATACGTTTTTCTCATACGTTTTATTTCTTAGTCGATATAATTTCAGTAAAACTGGGTTGGGTATGAGAAAAATTGATTGTCATACACGCCTAAAAGAAAAATTGATTTCATAGCTAAGTCGAAATCGAGAGCAACGGTCTCGATAGCAAGTGTTTAAAGCTAATTTAGAATTAACTAACGGCAAATAGTTGGGAAAAGATTTAACCAATATTACTGGTGGTAGTAAATGCCGAGGTTACATTTAGAATATTCAAGAAACATGTCGTTTTTGCTTTATATTATTGACTGCATTGTGGATGGACATTAACATTTTATATGGTCACTGCATCCTTATCCTGTTGGACACTGCGTCAGAAGATGAGCGGGAGTGAGTAAAAGATGACCTCCAACGCCATCGCTGCTCCCATTGTATTTCGTTGACTTTCTTCCAAGTAAGAAGTAAACTGTGACAATAAAATGGAGAGCCCTAATTTTGCAATACGGGCAATTTGTGAGTGATCTGAAAAGAGTGGGAAGCAAAAATAAAGTGTGTTGTGTGAAAAGCTCTTGACCGAAGTGGCAGCTTGACTAAGGGGAATGCAGATGAAGCTGAAAACGATGAAGCGAGTAGTACGATAAAAGATTCAATGGCAAACTGGCCCCGGGCAAATTTTTCACAATTTGCAATGGAGATAAGATAACACAAGAGCCAAATATTATGTCTCATTGGCAACAACCACTGCGCTTTATGTTGGCAGAAAAGAGACAGTAATGCAGATAAAAGTTTCTCATGGCCAGTCGACAGGAATAAA